AAGTAGGATAATAAGACTACTTCAAACACGAGTTTACATCTTGGTTCTTGTTAACAATAACTCATCTTAATGGGCTAAGATCACTCCAACATTTCAAAATGTCAGCTGGTATATATATTAATTAATTTTCGCGTTGGAAACTTTCTTTGTGTCCCTGTAAATATTTTCAATCCACGACCTTACTAGAGGATTTATGGTTTAAAGCTTCACTTCATAAAACTATGAAGTGCGAGACGTAAACATTTTTCTTCGTAACCACTTAATTTGGAAGTGCTTCGTATCCACGTTTTTCGTCATTAAAACGTGTATATTTTTGTACACCATTTTCCCATTATTAAATAGACATCGCGATAATAACTTATGCATTTACATAATATCATATAGGGGAAGATTATGCCCCTTCTTAATTATTTTAGTCTCTGCGAGACTGGTTTCGTATAACAAGTTGAACTGATAATTGACGTACAATTCTGGTAACATAATCACCTACACACAAGGGAATTCTGTTACGTTACGTTCTCTTGTATCATCTGTGATAGTTTTAAAAATATGCATATACACAAATACATACGTACACAATTAATTGCGTACAATAATAATGGATCATACTGTGACACGTCGCCACAGAATTGTGGTGCCTATATGTTTGTGCGAAATCCCGACCACTTGACAATGTAATAACATCATACAGACATATTGCCAGTGGAATATATTTGTCGTAACTCTTTCCGAGGTATGATGGTGGTATAGCGAGATTGTTGAAACAATGCAGAGCCAAATAACGCAATATTCTAAGACGGGCTCCTTTGATGTCCTTTGTGAAAGCCGGAATACAAGCACAACAATGGGCTTCTAGACCATACTCCAAGCAATGAAGAGCAATACTGTTACCCACAAACTGAAAGTTTTCGTTACGACAGAGAACCATCTGACCCAAAAGAAAAACATCATTTATACCATTTAAACCAAATTAATAAACAGGGATTTGAAACACTCTGACATCAACGATTGTGTTCCTGATGAAGGTGAAGAAAAAAATATGGAATCACAGGAGTCCAATTTTCACAAAAAAAACCTATCAAATCTCCTGATGCAGCTGCATGTAATTCGACATTTTATATCTTTGGAGATGATAATTTCATTTCCAAGGCTCTGTCATGAAATATATTCAGAAATAGTTGCTTGAGGCATAAAGAATACTCTAAAATAATTACTTACGACAGAAAGAACACGCTCAGTGTTGGAGAGAGTCCGCTGTAGTCTTGCGTGTAAACTTGAGATTGTTGGATGATGTCTTTAATGAGAACTGGCATTTAGGTATTCAGGACGCATGTTCTAGAAGGTTTTGTTTGCGAGTGAAGCATTCTACATATATTTTAAATATTATTTCATATTTAACCTCGTATATAAGGGCGAAATAACATTGTAATTGACTTCTAAACCTGTTGGTTTAATGTTCAATGTCATTGTGGTGGATTTATAAACATCTCAATCTTTAAATAATATAACAATATTTGTCATTGTGATGTATTTCTGAACATCTACACCATTTAAATACTATAACAATATTTGTCATTGTGATGTATTTCTGAACATCTCCACCATTTAAATACTATAACAATATTCGCCATTGTGATGTATTTCTGAACATCTCCACCATTTAAATGCTCTTACAACGTGTGTCAAACCTTAAAATTTTCTTACAATACTTGTCACTAAGAATTTGTTGGCATCTCCACCCTGAATATTTTCTTATATCATAACGTTTGTCATTGTGGATTTGTAAGTATCTTTACCCTTTAAACGT